GGTCGGGGGGTGGGGCCCAGGGCTCAGGGATGGTGCTCAGGGCTGAGGATGGTGCTCAGGGCTCAGGGTGGTGCTCAGGGCTCAGGATGGTGCTCAGGGCTCAGGGTGGTGCTCAGGGCTCAGGATGGTGCTCAGGGCTCAGGGTGGTGCTCAGGGCTCAGGATGGTGCTCAGGGCTCAGGGTGGTGCTCAGGGCTCAGGATGGTGCTCAGGGCTCAGGGTGGTGCTCAGGGCTCAGGATGGTGCTCAGGGTTCAGGGTGGAGATCAGGGCTCAGGATGGTGCTCAGGGCTCAGGATGGTGCTTAGGACTTGGGTATGGTGCTCAGGTGCAGGCTGGCACCTGCCTTACCAATGTGACCATCTGCATTTTGCTCAGACCCTTATGGAAGGGCTCTGGAAAGGGAATGGGCTTCCTGGGCCCTGCCTCTTTTGTCTGTGCTAGACGGCTGCCCCTGCTGGCATCATCCAGTCCCAGCCCCAGGGTTCACTACAGCAGGGAGAATCTGTCTTCCCCTTTTTCAGGCCAGGGTGGGAATTGGGGATGGCAACCTGGCACATTTAAAATGTCCTCAGGTGGCACTTGGGGCAGCCATCCTGGCCCTGCCCAGCAGAGGGCAGTGTGAGCCTGTGGAACAGCCAAGGGGGCTCGGCTGCTGTCAGGCTTGGGGGCTTGGCTCTGAGGGAGGAAATTCATTCCCTGGAGGGCTTGGGGACAAGCGAGCACGAGGAATCCGTGTCTCTTCGGGCCCTTGGGATCCCATTTCCTGACACGTGGACCGTGCCTTCGAGGGCTGTGGGGTTCTAAATTGAAAATCACCCCTCTCATCCCTTCCCTTGCGGTCAGGATCCAGGGACTTTGCTGTCCTGCTCCGAGGCCCTCCAGGGGAAGTGGTGGCCAGGCCTGGGGGGAGGGGGTGAGGCTGGGGCAGGGGAAGTGGGGAATTTGGGGAAGTGGGGCGGGGGTAGCGAAAGCCCTCCACAGGGTTGCTGAGGAAACGTTGACCCAGAGTCAGGGCTCCTGGTGGTCGGAGGTGGGGTGTCCTGGAGAGCAGGCTCAGCCCCCGCAGCCAGCCTCAGCTGCCCTGCTGTCCCCATGACGTGGGCATGGCTCCGCCGTGGGGCATAAGCCTGTGAGCAGGCGGGGTAGCCAGCCCCCAGGCGAGTGAGTGCCCAGCACGGAGCCTCAGACTATGGAAAGGCTTGATGGCTTGGGCCTCGCCGCCTGCCCAGGCCCCTCCCTGAGGACCACATGCACCTGGTGCTGCCAGCACTTCCCGGCCTGGTGCTGCCCGGCCTCTGCCTCCTGCCTCTTGGGTGCTGATTCAATTAGCCCAGGTGCCCAGTGTCTGCAGGGGCCATTTATAAACCCCGCTGGGCTGCTGGAGACCTCAGGCAGGCGGAGCTGGGGATGAGGGGCCAGGAGTAGGGAGGAGGAAGTGGCAGGTTGAGGGTGTCTGGGAGAGGTTCGGATCAGCTTAGGCAGGCCGGCTGCCCCAGAGCAGGCAACTGTGCATCGCTGCCTGGGGCTCCAGTGCTGGCCACCCCAAGCAGGGCCTCGCAATCCCCAGCCTCGGGCTGAGCCTGCCTCCCTCCCACCTCCAGAGCCGTCTTCCTGACACTGGTTCCTGGACCCCTGAACCAGAGCCTGCTGAGGAGATATGGATGAGAGAGCATTGTGCTGAGGGATTTGTGGGGGAACTGGGGTCCCAGACACCTGGGCTAATTGTTCTAGGGCTGGGACCAGAAGATGGCATAGTGGTTACGTTGCTGGACTCCCATGTCGTCGACCACGCTTCCAGTCCCGCACCCAGTGGCTTCAAATTCATGTTGCGTGCATGTGCGTGTGTGCCCAAAATGCCAAGAAGAGAATGGAAGAGAAGGGGTGAGGCATGGCCATTCCCCCAGGGGCTGCTTTCTTGCTTTCTGTCTGTCTCTCCTTGTCTCTCTGGTGAGCACATGTACCCTATAGAAAAAAATCTCTCTATTAAAAAAAATAAAAGGAAAGAAAAAAGAAAGAAAACATACTGGGCATGTGTGGGTGGGTGCCCCAAATTCCAACAGGATGGAGAAATGGGGGGAGGCGATGCAGCACGACCTCACCCTGTTAGGGCTCGTTCTCTCTCTCTGGTCAGTGCATGCACCCTTGGTCAATTGAAAAAATAAAAACTAGAAAAACCGATGTGTATTCAGGGAGCGGTGAAGGGGCAGCATCTGTGACTCTCAGCCGCCGGACGGGCTCCCAGGTGGAGCATGCACCACCCCGCAGGGCAGTGGGAGCACCAGGGAGGAGTCTGCTTCCCGGACTGGTGAGGCTGGAGACGAGGCAGCTGGGCGAGCCCTGCTCTCACCTGGTTGCTGCGTCCACTGATGGCCCAGTGGCTGGCATGCGAGGCGTGGAGGTGGGCTGCTGGCGAGCTGGGAGCATGACGGTGGGCATGGTTCGCCAGCCGGTGCGGTCAGTACAGGTGATGGGGCCGCTTCCGCAGCCAGCCCGGGAGGCTCTGGGAGGATGAACAGCTCTGGGAGGAGGAACTGGGTGGAAAGGAGCCGAGAGAACATCCTGAAGGAGCTTCGTGTCTCTCTCACCACGCTGCAAATGTCCCGGGACGGGCCCCATTTCTTCCCTAATTCAGCCTTCCGTCCCGAGCTCAGTGTGGCCGTGTGGAAGCTGGTTGCAGAGCTGTCCTGCCCTCCAGCAGCCCCTTCTCCTTCCGAGGGTCCTCATTCTCCTCCAGCTCCGGGAATATCTTCTCCAAGGGCAAGCCCTCCCTGGTCTGAACCCCGTCCTGCTTCACGCAGCTGCTGCCCTGGTTTCCCCTCCTGCCCCCGTGGGCTTCCTTGGTCCTTTCACAAGGAGAGCTGTGGACACAGAGGTCCCCTTCCAGGAGACCGGGAGGCAGCAGCTTTTGTCGTGCAAGTCACAGTGAGCTGCGGGGGCTGCTTTGTCACAGCGTGTCATATCATCCCAAACGTCCTTACCGTCCTCCAGGGCCCCATGGCAAGCAAATGCCTACCCTTTTCTCAGCTTGCATCTCAGGGGTCGTCTAGGCTTCTGCAAGGAGTTAGACCGAGGGCCATGGGGACAGGACACGGCTGGGCCCACTGAGGGGGTGGGGTGCGGAGGACTCTCAGATCCGCCTGTGTTCAGCTGGGCCAGCTTGCTCTGGGGCTTGCCGGAGGCTGTGGCAGCAGCAGACCCTGTGTCCAGGGCTCAGTGCAGGCCTCGGTGCCTGATGGCAGCTGCAGAAGCATCTGAAGGTCGGCTCCTTTTCCAGGCTGCCTCTGGCGGCAATTCCAGGCAGGTAGGCGGAGGTGGTGGCCTGGAGAGAAGGTGACTGGAGCTGAAATAGAGAACGGACCAGTGGACAGCCTCCGGCAGGTCAATGAAGACCAGCGGGACGAGGGCTGTGCTTCAAGGCCCACAACGAGCCCTGGGCACCTGGAGCTGTTACCGCTGTCTGATCCCCACAGAAAAGACCAGATCTGGCTGGAGCCCCAGTGCCCTGTCCCAGCTTCTGGGACAGCCCAGAGGCCCTTTCCTGCTGACATGGCCCTGCCTGGACTCAGACCTGGAGTGGGGGCTGACCTGGATGAGCGTGCGTGCACCTCACTGGGCGAGGTCACGTTCCAGATGTCCCCAGGCTTGTTGACACTGGTGCTGCGGGCACCCTTGGGTCACTGCCGGCTTGGGCCCCAGGAGGAGGGGCTGAGGAGGGGCTGGGATGGACCCCCGCCGGGAGCCCAAACACATACTGTGTGTAGACGTCATCTGTCCACACGCCGATCACCTTCACTCTGCAGGGTCACTGCTTCGGCCACGATCAAGCCAGCCAGTGATCTGTGGGAGCCAGTGGCCAGAAACCAGCCTGGCGGCTTGTCTGGGAACCCAAGGCTCCAGGCCTAGAAACACCTGTCTGGGGACCAGCAGGTGGCGTAGCGGTTATGTCACTGGACTCCCACATAGTCGACTGTGGTTTGAGTCCCGGACCCAGGCACGTGTGTGTACATGCCCAAATCCCT